AACCAGAAGGCTCTTGTTGAGAACCAGAAGCGCTGGCGATACTGGAATGAGAAGCTAGGCAAGCTATCCTTGCAGAACGTCAACGATCTGATGGGCACGGCCTCGTCCAAGAAGAAACAGTTGGAAGACGAGGAGGGGGGGGAAGGTGGCGAGGAAGGCGAGGTGGGCGAATCCGATGAGGCGAACGCCGAAGCGAACGCCGAAGAACAACTCCAGAAAGAACATACCTTTGCGGAGCAGCCCGAAGAGATTCCGCAATATACCAAAGACGAGCTCATGGATATGGACAAGGATAGATTGAAAGCCGAGATCGCCGCCCTTGAGGAAAAAACTCAAAATGTCAATGTCGATGTTACCGTGCTAGCAGAATACCGCCGGCGTGTTGAAGAGCACAGCGCTCGCTCTTCGGACCTGGCTAGCGCCGTCCAACAGCGCGATACCGCCAAGAAGCGATGCGATGACCTCCGTCGGCTCCGCCTGGAGGGATTCATGGAAGGCTTCAGCACTATATCGCTCCGGTTGAAGGAGATGTACCAGATGATTACCATGGGTGGCAACGCGGAGCTGGAACTCGTCGACAGCTTAGATCCTTTCAGCGAGGGTATCTTGTTCTCGGTAATGCCGCCGAAGAAGAGCTGGAGGAATATCGGTAATCTGAGTGGTGGTGAGAAGACCCTGTCGAGTCTGGCCCTCGTGTTTGCGCTGCATCATTATAAGCCCACGCCGCTGTACGTCATGGACGAGATTGATGCTGCTTTGGACTTCCGGAATGTGAGTAATAATCCCTTTTGATTTCTTATTCCGCCCTGGGGGGTTGATAGCTAATTCGTCTTGTGCGCAGGTCTCGATCGTGGCCAATTATATCCGGGAACGCACGAAGAACGCCCAGTTCATCGTCATCTCGCTGCGGAATAACATGTTTGAACTTGCGTCGCGCCTGGTGGGCGTGTATAAAGTGAACCATATGACGAAGAGTGTAACCATTGAGAACCGCGACTTTATTACCCGTAATGCGGGTGCTAGACAGGGCGGTTTGAATGCTGGTGGTGCTGGTGTTGCTGGTGGTAGTACGCAACAAACTGTGGTTCGATAGGACTAAGGAGGTCAGGTTTGGATTGGATGGGAGGGGCTTTGGTGATGAACGAATTGAAGAGTATGCGATGTTATGACTAGGGGCAGGGAATGAATGGGAAATGAATGCTTTGATGAAATGATTGATTGGTTCGGAAAGGGGAACGGTGGTGAAGAAGAGCGTTTGTGTCTTTGTGAATGTACGATATTATTTTGTACCCCTTGTTTTTTTGTTTTTTTTTACACTCTTAACAGAGATGCTCTTGATTAAGACTTTGACGCTCTCGAAGTAGTGGATGGGTTGCTTATGTTTAGAGCACGTGAACCTTTTTCATCTTGGTTGTTTTGATGATGATGCCTACTTCATCCTTGGTGTTGGTGTAAGGGATTCGTTTGCCTGCTCGTTCAGAGTATGTCGAGATGCCTCATTCTTGACGGGAGTTTACCTTGACTGTTATTCACGGCGCGTAGTACTCTAGTTGCAATAAACTTTCGTAGTTCGCGTCACGGCAGCGCAAACCGGCGAACGTCGAGTCCCTTGAATGCGTACCTCCAGTGAATCTACCCGAAAGGAGTTGTACGGAAGGAAAGTGTCTTGCTCGCATCGATCTAGAGGTTCATTCATGGTTGTAGCTTGTCGTTACTACGGATGGTGATTACTTGGACTACCGACTCTCGAGTGCGCAAGTCGGTCCTGCGGAGATATCCATACTGACTCGGATAAATGATTGAGGCCCAGAGATGAACGCTTCAATGGGCGAATGTAACAGCTGGGTACCAAGATCGAGGGTTGTGATCAAACGTGCTATGAGATGATGGGATAAATGGATTAGGGGGAATGCATTATTCCGCCTAATTGGCAACTTGGCGCTATGGGCCAACGATGGTAGGGTTTGACAGGCGGAGATATCTTGCGGTTCGAGAGACTTGGACGCCTTCTCTCAAGCCGCGGAAGGGATGACGATGACGCTGGTAGGCAGGTGGCGAGACACGCCTGGATAATGGATGTGTTCGAATGGGAATGGAAATGGGAATGGGCTTGTTTTGACATTTCTGGAGCGGATCCAGTCGGAAGGGCTGTTTGTCATCTTCATATCCGATGGTTGCTTCCATATCGAACGGGCTTTGACAATAGGGGGAATACTCAATTCATCATTCATGCTTCGTAGTAGACTTGGGGCAACTATAGTAATATACCTGTAGCCTTTTAACATCAAGTAACTGGTGTGGACGAGGGGATAGTAGATTGCTACGCATCACTAATCGGGAGGAATCCCGAGGAATCCCCCGGGCTTCGGAAAATCGTCAGATAAAAGGGATTTGCTGCCCGGAAAGTCGACTTGGGCGTGTTGTCCAGGGAACGAACTTGGAACGGGAAAGCACGGACTGTGATGACTGTCCTTTCACGCAACTGCCTTCTGAGTGAATGCTATGGTGATTTAGCGTGACCGGGTGCCTTCCCCGTGATAGCCCTAATCGTAAAAGGGGCATGAATAAAACGCGTCCCCTCTGCTATTAAGGTACACGTGCCGGAAAACGCGTGCTGAACGTGCCCTGATCACTTAAACAGCAGGCACGAAGTAAAGAAGGCAACAACGCCAGGCAGAATAAAAAAATAAAAAATAAAAATAAAAAAGAGCAAGCAGGAACCGGGGACACCATAATTACCTAGGTATTTTCCTCTGCCTTGGATCCACATCCACCTTTCCTCTCCACACCAACACTTCTTCCTTCTTCACCCAACATCTTCTCGCCTTCCATTCCATCCACAACCTCCTTTTCTTTTTCTTTACATCGAGTCATCGTTACCTTCCGACCAACAATCATCACCAACCGACCCTGCGCTTCGCAAGTTTCATTACGATTAACTCTTCCACCGATCGTCAACATGGATAATAACAACGACGGCACAAAGGAAGCGGCTTACCGGACTGCCGATGGAGCTACCGCCGCTCAGCCTGCCCCTGTCGATGCCCCTGCCCCGGCTGTCATTGATGAGCACACCGGTCCTCAGTCTGCCTCCACTCACACGACCGAGCCTGAGACCGGTCCTATGCAAACTGCCACCAATCAGACTGCCGGCGGTACTCAGTCTGCCGCTACTCAGCCTGTCGCTACTCAGTCTGCCGCTACTCATACTGCTGATGGTGATGTCGCCGGCGTGCAGGTATATCGCGTTCGTACCGTGAGTAGTAGCGCCCACACAATCAGTACACAAACGACAGGTACTCAGGGTTCCGCTAGTCGGTCCCGTGTAAACATGGCTGTTCGCGGTTCCAAGTAAGTTCCTGTATTCCCCAGCAGCAGTCCCCTTCAGCGCGCCCCCTCCCCTCCCTCATCGCCAATGCAAGATGGCTTTCTAACGTCCAAACTTAGCATTCGGGCCATTAACCAGGGTCAGGGATCTTTCGATCCCAGGATCAATATTGGGCCCGGTCGTCGGGCTCACGAGACCTTCGAAGGCCTCCTCGGTGAGACGGTTGGAGAGACCGGTACCCCACGGGGTACCCTGGGGAACCGCCTAGCGAGGTTCGATAGGATCGTGGACGCGCAATATGTCGGCGCGCCTCACCCTGCTCCCCGCCCCGCGCAACCTTATGTGCGCAACGCTCACACGGTGAGCAACGATGGCCGCCGGGGCAGCCCCCACGCCGGCACACGCGAGAACATTCGCGATTGCTGCGACGGATGCTTGAACTGTTGCGTTAGCATCATTTACCGATGGTGTTGTGGTATCAAAAACGACGATTAACTTCCTTGTTCGCGATACCCTCTCTTGGTCGGGCACAACTTGGTAAACCCATCCCTTATTTTACCCGGTAACCGAGTTGAGTACTAGTTATTCCTCGGGGACGGTGTATCTGATTTTCTGGTTTCTCGGAATTCATGAAAAAAAGCCACGGCCCAACGACCTTGACGTTAATCCATCCATCCATCCATCCATCCATCCGTCCATCCTTCTCATTCGACAATCGACCATCGACACAATTTTCCATTCATCGCTTTTCGGTATTTCTCTTTTAATTCATCCTTCACACGATCGTCTCGACTGGTCTTCGTTACGAAACTTGCCTTCTATTCTTTTCGACCATTGCAAATATCGATCAAGTCCCGGTCTCCGATCCACATCGTCAAAATTTGGCAACGTCTATCTCGTCTTGGCAATTCGATATCGACGATAAAACCTGGATGTCGACAATGCTTGGTCTGTAGCCTCCCCCAAAAGGCTGTCTAGTTCCCTTCTTTTTGTTCGACTGTTTATCGTCAACATGACAAGAAATACATCACACACACACCTGTGGCATATGACAATGATGGAAGACAGATTTGGCAAATTGGAACAAACGACGACAGTTAATGGATCAATCACATGATGATGATGATGGGGCACGAATAATGAGGGAAATTGATGAGGAATGAGGTTTAGATTCGAGCATGTCTGTTGCTCTCTTCTCTCTTTGTAACGTATCGTGGTTTCTTGACTACGAACTATGGTGATAGTCATACCGTAAAAAGCCCATATGGGAATGGAATCGTCTTCTTTTCTGAAATGTGGTAAATGCGCCATGATGAGATGTCGTCTCCCGTGACTTTGAGGTTCCGTCCGTTTGTGGGTCTGTGGCGTAATGCGTTCCTGTACCCTAAGCCCTGAATGGCGTGGCGTTGTACGGACTAACTAGATAATCCCTTAGACTAGTTATTTGATGGCGTCACTGTTAGCTTTGGGTAGCTTCGTACCGGTACATAACTATGTGCGTAGGTGCATAGTACCTGTTAATAGACCCACTGCGTGCGGGGATAGAAGGGGAAGGGGGGAGCGGGGGCAGAAAGATGAGAACGATTAGTATCTAGGTATCTAGATAGGGCTCCATCTCCAATCAAGCCGGAAAGTAAGAGAAAAAAAGAACGGCCCCTCTCCAAAAAGAAAATCCGAATTGGTGTAGTGGCTAACATTTGACGCTCTCAAAACTCCCTTCCTTGTCTCCCGAGGGAGTACCGTCAAGCCCGGGGTTCGATTCCCCGATTCGGAGGTCTTTTTTTTTATTTTTTTCATTTTCTCTTTTGTTCTTTTGTTCTTTTCATATTTTATTTTTTTTTATTTTTTACTTTTCTACTCTTTTACTCTTTTACTGTTTACTTTTTTGGGGGGGGGAGGGGGAACGTGGATTACCTATGCTAACTCTAGCATGAACCGCGTCTCGCCTCATATCTTTACCGAGAGGTGGCCAAAAAAAGACAAGAAAAAAGGGAAAAGAAAAGGGAAGGGATAATAAAGAAACCATGTCCCGATCCAATCCATCCGTCCCAACGAACTCCCCCCCCCCCTTTCCCTCCAGCTCTTTTTCACCGCACGCCCCCCATCCATCATCAATCGTTGTTCTAGATACCTAGTATTAGTTTCTATCCATCCAACTAACCTAACCTACCCTACCTAGGTTAGATACTACTAAGTAGTAACCTAATAATTACTTTTAGACGTTAATATACTACTACCTACTAATTACTACGTTTCCGTGAAGATAGCAACGCCCCATGACTTAACTAACTACTAAGCCGACTGGAGGAGAGGCGTTATCATTTTTCCTTGGCGATGCCATGTCTCGGGTGTTGCCGTATATGTACGGCGCATAATTAACTACGGTTACCTACCTGTTCCAGCCAGCCAGACTACCTATGTAGGTTAGATAGATAGACTCAGAGTATAAAAAGGAGTGGATGGGGTGGAAAATCATTTGAAATCTAACGCGCCACCTTCCAAAAAAAAAAAAAAAACCACTTCTTCACTGTGAGGGCATGATCATGTGGTATATGTAATCCGAGACGTCGTTAACGCCTCACAACAATCCTCATCACGGACTTCCTTGGGGATAGAAAATTTAAAGAATTGGATATAAAGGGGCTAACGATATCTAGCAGTTAAAACGTTATTCAGGAGGTCCAGCGAGAGAGAAAGAGAGAAGAAGAAGAAAGGGGGAAGAAAGCCATGTCTCATGGTCTCATGGTCTCATATACCAATCCCATCCCACCGCCTATCTATGTCATCCATTCCCAATACCCGAAGAATAGAGAGAGAGAGAGAGAGAGAGAGAGAGAGAAAAGATCGACGCGCCACGCATGCATCTATCCATTCAGCCATTCAGCCATTCATCCATAGCTCAAGCCATGCAGATAGACCCCAGAACACAGCGACAAGAACCAGAAAAGCAAGGGAGGCAAAAAGACTTCTAGAGCGCAGAAATAAGCAAATCCACAGCCGCCTCCTGCCGTCCGATAGTCGCGGTGTCGAACGGTCCCTGCCAGGCAAACCCATAGAAATTTGAGGCGTTACGGGCATTGGCGTACGCCGACTGCACGTTCTGGGCGATAAACGCCGTGTATGGATGGTCGGGTAGGGCAGCGTTGAGCTTCGCTAGACCGCGCATGAAGATGCCTTTGAAAGCGGTGCCGTTCGGTTCGCATTGCTCGCCTGTCGTGCAAGCGGCTTCCGTTACTGTGAGGTTCGGGGTTAGTGTGTCCGTCATTCACCGCGTCATTCACCAGGTCTAATTTATAACCCGAATGAAAAGGTAGGTAGGTAGGTAGGTAGGTAAGACTTGGGAGTGAAAATGACTCACAAATACCATTAGGCGAAAGCGAAGGGCTAGCCACCACGGCATCGGCAATCGACCTCGCCTTGCTCAGATACGACGAATCGCCCGTAGCGACGGAGAGCTGCACCAAACCAGCTAGAATAACGCCCTGGTTGTAGGTCCAGACAGGCTGGCCATTATTAGTGCAGGCCGTATCCTCGGTTAACCCATCGTTGATTAGACCGGCGCTATTGATCATGCCCGTCGCATTGAACCAATTCCATTCCTTGAGTGCCTGGCCGAGGTAATACTGGTCCCCGGGGATGAGGTTGTGCAGCGTAGCCGTGAGTTCGAGGTACAGCTCGTTCGAGATAGCATTATGATAGGTTCTCGTCGGGATATTCCATATCAATCCGCCGCCGCAGGTCGTCGTGTTCCAGAAGCCAGCCATATACGCTTCGTCCTCTTTCGCGATATTCAGGTACGTCGGGTTGCCGGTGACCTGGTACAGCGAGGTCAGCGCCAGCGCCCACCACGCTGTATCGTCGGTGCTATCGGCACGGAAGTCGCCGCCGCCGCTCGGCCACCAGCTCAGCGGTGGGCGCTGGGCGTTCACGGTAAACGCGGCCATGTTGACGTAGTCCCGACTCCCTGTCGCGAGCATGTATTCGGCCAGAGCGCGTAGCGCGACACCACTGTGCCACCAAGGGCCCGTATCCCAGAGTCCGGTCGTCTGGTTGTAGAATGTGTTCATGGCGGTCACGGCGGCGGCGGCAGCAGCGCTTGCGGTGCTCGTGTTAGCAGTACCGGCGGCGGTGATGCCTCGTGCGGCGACGGATGAGACTAGAAAGATTGAGGGGAGGAATGGCTGAAGCCACGAGCTTGAGCTCGAGCTTGAGCCCCAGGCTGGACGCATTGCTGAGAAAAGCGAGCGCCGTACGTAAAGAATAAACGAATGAATGGATGGGCTAAGGACGGCGAGGGAGGATGGGGAGGGGAGAGGTAATGAGACTGGTGTCCATCGTATATTTATTATCTTGTCATCTTATATATACGAGGACACATACGCGCTCTGCCCGATTGTCTACCCAGAAGTATACCTGCCGGTACACTTAGCACCTGCCTTACCTACGACATCCAGAATATCCGATGACCCTGGCAGGAGCATTCACCCCCGCCCCTTCCCGCGCGTGATGCGGGCGTTCAATAGACTGACTACCTGCCCACTTACCTAGGTAGTCCTAGTAGACAACTGTTTTTGTCTCGGCCCATGCTGTGGTCAGGGCCAACTTCCAAGCGAGAGTGGCCCCGTTTAGGTTAAGCAAGTTGTTTTTGCATCGTATTTTCCGTTTCCGTTTCCGTTTCCATTTCCATTTCCAAATCCTTCTTCGCTTGAAGTCTGATGTGACGATGAAATGGGGGCTATGCTCAGTCGCCGCGATTCGCAAAAACTGATGTAGAATATAAATAGTGCCGGGGAGTTTTCCTAGTCCCCAAAAATGCCAGATATAAATAAAAGATAACCCAAATCTGGCCCGTCTTAAGAATAGGTATCTAGGTAGTTTGCTCTGCGTCACGGACGGAAATACATCCTTTGATGATTGATTGATGAGGCTAGGTTGACGTCGATGTGATGGACAGGGCTCAAATCAAATCCAGGGAGGGAAGCCTGCATATGATCTTCTCTTGCTGGGGGTCAGGAAAGTCATTGGCGCAGGTTACCATTGCCATCCAGTATGGATATGTCACCCCCGTCTTCCATGAATGCCTCATCGCATGTTCGGCCCGTTGCATCGGCTTGTTCATATAGGTAGGTAGGTATCTAGAGCCCGTACCTGCGCCGTAGCCAAAGTAGTACTTACATACATACATACTGATCATCCGGCCTTCTCCAAACCATTCTCGAGTCATCACCAGGAATATTCCAGTATAGGTAGTCCGAACCCCAGAGTCTTGGGGCCCAGACTATCTCAAGGGACGGAAATAAAACAAGGAAGGAAAGCGCGGATAAAAAAAAAGGCCAATCCCGTGTTATTCTTCGTAACTCCGGACGTCATTCTTTGCTTCCACGTGCGATGGAAGACGGGGGGGCCAGGGCCAGGGGATACGGGCACATGCATAAACGGGCAATTATGTAAGTAATTAATTATATGCATGTAATCTATGCAGATATCCCATGCCCTGGTCTTTTTTGATGACGGGACGGGATCTCATGCCCGTCGTCATCCATTTTTTCCTCTTTTTTTTTTCGTTTCCTCTTGTAACGTCGGTCAATGATTGTCCCGGACATCTTGAGCAACACGACAGATCAAGGGTGGGTGAGTTTCCTGGCTTGGCTCTAGGTCTACTACGTACACTACCTACTACACTACCTACATACACTCCTACATACACTACATTGATGGACTCTCGTATCAGTCTGCTGTGCTTGATATTTACAGCTCTTGTATTCCTCTATCATGCCCGATGCTACCGACTCTGACGTTGTTCCAACAGAAAGCGCACGGCAATGGCCTCATTGTACACAGCAACCTCGTGCTCAAGTTGTATGGCCACGAGACGGATGATTAAGTAGGTGTATTGATGATCTATACTTAACCTATCAAAAAGAAGGGCAAAAGGCGATAATCGCGTGCCCGAATTAAAGGCCCCCCCTTCTGATCATTATGCCGTATGACTTCTTTCCCACATTAAACTTCGTTGCACGTTCTCTCTCATTTTTCGTTCACATTAACTCATGTCGGCCTGTAATATCGCGGCTCGTCAAAGACGTGATAGTGGTGACCTCGCACCCCCTTTCCCCTGAACATCGACGGGAATCTCCAGCCCTCGGGGACTTCGTCTTCTCCCACCATTCGATTCCTCGCCTCCGGATCGTCATTCATGGCTGAAACTCTTTCTTTTTCCTCCCTACTCCTCGGTATAACGAATTTCGCAACCTGTAGCTCCGTATCTGTAATCGTGCTTCTGGATATTCTGGCATATCCGACTCGTTGCAGATATTTGTAGAGTATGTACTCGCACCAACGGTCCCAATCGCTGGGGTCCACATCATGCATGCCTGATGTTTCTGAGACGTAGGTATTATAGTTTCCCTGGAGGGGTTTTGTCACGAGGTAGGATAGGAGAATAGACGGCCGCGATGACGAGCCCATCAGTTTGGAGAGGTATTCCGCCTGTAGTCGACGGTCTTCGGGATCCTCCTCCTGGCCTGAATGGAAGACAAACACGTCAACTAGCTCTCCATACACATCCAGCGTAGCGTGGATGGCTGGTGCGAGCTCGCCTACAGGCGATGGTAATAGATGATGAGTGGAATTGAGAATGGGGAATTTCGACAAAAGTGCCGCTCCCCAGGTATGCTTGTTGGGACCCGGGCCGTAGTCCACATACATGCCTAACTCTTCAGCGAGGATTTGCGTGGTATCACGATTGCCCATGATGATCCGTTGGAGGTCCGA